AAAAAAAAAAAAAACGGAAAGAAAGAAAGAGAAAAGAAAAAAAAAAAAAGACAACCTTTATACAGAGTTTCACTATTTGAGTGTGGAGTAGGAGGGGTGAGAAGAGTGTTTCTCTCCTTTTAACTCTCTCTCTCTCTCTCTCTCACTTCGTGTATGCCTCCCTGTTCTTCTAGAAGGAGTATGTCCTCATCTAGACGACTCTCGCGAAGTACGAACTCGGCTTGGCAGGAGAGTCATCCGCAACAGGAGAAGATAGAGTCAACGTTAGAGAGTTCTTTACAGCACTCAGAGAGGGAGACTTCACTTGTGCAGATACCAAGCCAAGAGATGGAGTCTCACCCGTATACAATGGAAGAGTATGATATCCCCATGGGGGTTTCTGTGCCACAAACAGAAGAAGAAAGAGAAAAGGAAAAAGAAGAACAGGCAGAGAAATATGAATATGAGGAAGTATTTGCAGGTGAAGAAGAAAAAGAAGAAAAGATAGAGACCTTGATAGCTCAAATAGGAATAGACCATGGGAAGAAGAATGGTGAGAAGAGTACAGAAGACCTAGATGGCAATAGTCTTCAATGTGGAAATTTTGATCCTAATGACAGAGGTGAGAAGGATCTTGGTGATATTACTATGGATGTAGAGCAATATGTGCGCATCTTGGGAGGAAATGTGAACCACGCTAAAGATGCAGTTGAGAAAAAGAAGATGGATAATAATAATAATAATAATAATAATAATAACAGTAAGAGCAAAACGAACAACAATTACAGTGTGGATCATAATAATAATAATAATTATGATGATAAGGATGATCATGATGATGATATGCAGCGTTCTTCTTCTCCGTTTCTCCTCTTAGACTACGTGGAACGTGGTGGAAAGCTTGTGGAGAAGGAATCCGTGGATTTTGACACGATGGGACTTGAGATGAAAGTAAAGCGATTTAAGGAGAAACTCGCGGTACTGCAGGCGCGTGAGGAAGAACGACAACAGAGAGTATATAAGGCATGGATGAAGAAAATGAATGGAATGGTAAAGGAAACTACAGAATCACAGACAAAGGAAAAGGACTCAGAAAAGAACAAGAAGAAGAAGGAAAAGAAAAAGAAAGATAAAAAGGGATCTTCCCAGTCACACAGCAAGAGAAGAGAGAGAAAACAATCGAATGGGGTTATTACAACGAGTACCACCATAACAACAACAACAACAACAGTAAGTAAGAGTGATAATAATAATAATAATAATAATAATAATGTCCATATGGCTCCTGCAGCCCCAGAAGAAGAAACCTTCAGTTGTCAAAGTAGTGTACTGCAGTCATCACGATGGAAGGAACACACACAAGAAGGAGGAGATATGATCACATGTTTAGCCGTTGAAGATGATGAGGAACATCTCACGATAAATGGAAGTGTGAGAAAACAGCAAACGGGTAGTGGTAGTGTATTAATGACAGAAGAAGGATCTAGTCTTCTTGGTAGTGAAAAGGGCCAACACCGCGGTTCGCTCTGTACAGTGGCCTCCTACACGGCGAAGAGTTATTCACCGATTGAAGAGCGAGAAAGAGATGAGATGGATCGGCAATTCACAGCAGAGGCCGTTGCTTCTGGGAATGGTCCAAATGTAGTCAGTCAATCATATGGAGTAGAGACACATGCGGATGACAGATTTTTGGAGGAACCAAATGATGGTAGTGATAAGGATATTGAGCATAAAAATGATGATGATGATGATCTTATTGATATGGATAATATTCATAATAATAATAATAATGATAAAGATAATGATGATAATGATGTTGGTAGTGGAGTTGCCTATCCTTGTTCTCCAACGCTGGTAACGGTGCCGATAGATGGTGTGAGTACGTTAGAATTGGTGATGGGAAAGAAACACGAAGCGGCTCGACGTGCTTTTCGCAAGGCGGAATCGGCGTTAATCCGTCGAATACAACGAGCGGAGTTGGAATTAATGCTCCAACGCCGTAAACAACAATGCGGTGGATTATGTGATTGGCAGAGTAGCGATGCGGTCACTCACTGTTCTCATTGCCAAAAAGCATTCGGCATTACAGTACGTAAACACCATTGTCGACGATGTGGACGTGTGTTGTGTAATGATTGCTGTTCACATATAGGTGGAGATTTATATTACGCGAGCACACCAAGAAGAGACAGCTGTAGTAGAAGTAGTAGTACGGATAGTCATTTGAGTGTTAGTACGGATGCCAGCAGCAGCAACAACAGTATTGGTATTAGTAATAATAATAATAATAATAATAATAATAATAATAATGGTCATCATCATCATCATCATGGCAAGAGTAAGAAGAAGAAGAATAGTGAAAAGAATGATAACAGTAATAATAATAATAATAATAATAATAATAATAATAATAATAATAACGATATAAGTCTTTCACGTCGTATAAATCCATGGTTATTTGATACATGTGAACTCACAGATGAAACGTATAATAAAGGCGTTGCCAAATTCTCTTTCCACGTGGGAACAATAGAGCCAACGCCTATGCAAACACCAGGCACAACATCTCTTCCAACAACAACCACAACAACAAACAACAACAATAACAACAACACTTCCACCGCAGCCACACCAGCAGGAGGATTGATATTACCAACAGTTGTTGTTAATAATAATAATAATAATAATAATAATAATAATAATAATAATAATAATAATAATAATAAAGGGAAAGAACAACACCCATCACGTTGGGGACGTGGTGGATTGAAGGTACGCACAACACCGTGGTATCGTATCTGCAAACGTTGTCATCATGTCTGTTTACGTGCGAGAGAAGAGAAGGATTACAGTGAGTTTTTATTTGATGGCCGTCGTCGTTATCATGCCCTGCGAGAAGATGAGCGTCGATTGTTAAATTTCAATACTTCATGGGAGGCACGATGTGCGCAATTGAATGTTGGTGTACACTCTGTGATGGAGTGGACGACGAGCAGTGCGAGAGATGGGATTAAGTCTATGCTGGAATGGGTTTGCAATGCTAATCAACGAGTGATGGATAGTTACGATCATTATGAAAATAATAATAATAATAATAATAA